GAAGTAGGTCTTCGTCCAAAGGTTGAACAAGTGTTGAAGAATTCTTTGTAACAAGATCCCATGATGCTGCAGTGTCTGACAGTTGTGATGAATGGTTTGAAAAAACCGACAAGTTGAAGATTGAGACACTTATGCAGCATATGGGAATCTTTATTCAGGAAATGTTTCGCCACACAGTGGCTTCTTCAGTCCAATACAAAGAGGAAGGCGTAAGGAGAGGAGGAGAATGAGGTAATCAGTCCCTCAACCTGGAGTCGATGTGTTCAGTCCATCAATCTTGTAGAATGTACAGCATAGGGCCGTAGAAGTGGCTTATATACTGTAGAGATGTGAGGTGAAGCAGGCGGAGGCGGGGTCATAGTGGTACCATCCACTAGTCGAAGTAGGTCTTCGTCCAAAGGTTGAACAAGTGTTGAAGAATTCTTTGTAACAAGATCCCATGATGCTGCAGTGTCTGACAGTTGTGATGAATGGTTTGAAAAACCGACAAGTTGAAGATTGAGACACTTATGCAGCATATGGGAATCTTTATTCAGGAAACGTTTCGCCACACAGTGGCTTCTTCAGTCCAATACAAAGAGGAAGGCGTAAGGAGAGGAGGAGAATGAGGTAATCAGTCCCTCAACCTGGAGTCGATGTGTTCAGTCCATCAATCTTCAACTTGTCGGTTTTTCACACCATTCATCACAACTGTCAGACACTGCAGCATCATGGGATCTTGTTACAAAGAATTCTTCAACACTTGTTCAACCTTTGGACGAAGACCTACTTCGACTAGTGGATGGTACCACTATGACCCCGCCTCCGCCTGCTTCACCTCACATCTCTACAGTATATAAGCCACTTCTACGGCCCTATGCTGTACATTCTACAAGATTGATGGACTGAACACATCGACTCCAGGTTGAGGGACTGATTACCTCATTCTCCTCCTCTCCTTACGCCTTCCTCTTTGTATTGGACTGAAGAAGCCACTGTGTGGCGAAACGTTTCCTGAATAAAGATTCCCATATGCCGCATAAGTGTCTCAATCTTCAACTTGTCGGTTTTTCAAACCATTCATCATTACGTAGAACTGTTGGCCTGGGAACCCACCAACGACCTTCAGTAGCTGTCTGCAGTCTGTTATTGTACATGGTTTCCGTCGGGATGTTGGTGGGTTCCGGGTTTGGGTAGTGGTTGTGGTGGGTGTTCTACGTTTTTTATGCCTTTGGTCAAACTGTACAAAGTTAAATATTGATTCATTGACTTGAAATTGTGTAAACATTTTGGGAAATTTAAGCGACGTTCAGGTTCCTATGAATATAAAAGTATTAGCGATCAGAATTGCAGTTGGTCTGAAGTTTGTAAGTTGTGAAGTGTAACACTTCTGGCAGCAGATGTTATTGATGAAAATAATGAAAACCTCGTGATCTGCTGTGGTGTTAGTCGACAGAAAGTCTTCACTAACATATGATGCTGATGAGTGTAGTTAGGGGGGTGATTTAGATTGGTATTAATGATTATTATTATTATAATCAAGGGGGAAGCGCTAAACCCGGAGGATTATACAGCGCCTGGGGGGGGGATGTGGAAGGCATTCAGGCTTAATTCGGGGAACTGGAGCACAGATCCAATTCTCTAAATCAAGAGCCCCTCACCAACATCAAGGAACCTTCCTTGAGGGGTTGGTATTAATGAGACTAGGATTATTAACCCTACTGGGTTAGAAACCCAGAAAAATAAGAGGTAGAGAGTGGGTGGGGGGGGCTTGATGACGCAGTTCTCAGGTCGTGCCCAGGATACCAGTCATAACTGGCAGGTAAGGTAGGTTATGAATACAGGCTAGCATAGTAGTGTGTTAGGAGACTGGTATACAACAGCTACAACTTCTTAGATAACCCGTAGTGTTGGTTGTTAGCTTAGTTTGCTATGAGGGACATGTAGTGTTGGTTGTCCTAATGATCCTAACTACCTTCCTGTTAAATTTGGATGCCCTTCAAGGGGTACCTTTGTACTAGTGAAGGTATCTTGATGCAAAGAGTTGCAAGTACCCTCCCTCTTCCTTGGATCAAACCTGATTGACTTCAATTGACCTGTCCCCCGAGAGTTTACCGTTCCCCCCATTCAAACAATTTAGTTTACATGCGTGTACATTTACCCAAATAAAATTTCCCATAACTATATAAATATATTACCATAGGCGTTGTACACAGCTTGGGGAATGTTGGGCAATCATTCCCCAAGCTGTGTATAACATTCCCCAAGCTGTGTATGACATTCCCCAAGCTGTGTATAGCATTCCCCAAGCTGTGTATAACCCTTAAGGGTAATATGTCTACATATACAGTTATGGGAAATTTTATTAGATCTTACCTAGACCCCATTGACCTTACCTAGACCCCCTTGATCTTACCTAGACCCCCTTGATCTTACCTAGACCCCCCTTGATCTTGCCTAGACCCCCCTTGATCTTACCTAGACCCCCCTTGATCTTACCTAGACCCCCCTTGATCTTACATAGACCCCCCTTGATCTTACCTAGACCCCATTGATCTTACCTAGACCCCATTGATCTTACCTAGACCCCCTTGATCTTACCTAACCCCATTGATCTTACCTAGACCCCCTTGATCTTACCTAGACCACCTTGATCTTACCTAGACCCCCTTGATCTTACCTAGAACCCCCTGACCTTACCTAGAACCCCGTTAATCTTACTCAGACCCCCCTTGCTCTTACCCAGAACCCATTGATCTTACCTAGACCCCCTTGATCTTACCTAGACTCCCCTTGATCTTGCCTAGACCCCTGTTAATCTTACTCAGACCCCTCTTGCTCTTACCCAGACCACATTGATCTTACCTAGACCCCCTTGACCTTACCTAGACTCCCCTTGATCTTACCTAGACTCCCCTTGATCTTACCTAGACTCCCCTTGATCTTACCTAGACCCCCTTGATCTTACCTAGACTCCCTTGATCTTACCTAGACCCCCTGATCTTACCTAGACCCCCTTGATCTTACCTAGACTACCTTGATCTTACCTAGACCCCTTGATCTTACCTAGACCCCCTTGATCTTACCTTGATCTTACCTAGACTCCCCTTGATCTTACCTAGACTCCCCTTGATCTTACCTAGACTCCCCTTGATCTTACCTAGACTCCCCTTGATCTTACCTAGACTCCCCTTGATCTTACCTAGACTCCCCTTGATCTTACCTAGACTCCCCTTGATCTTACCTAGGCCCCCATTAATCTTACTCAGACCCCCCCCCTTGCTCTTACCCAGACCCCCTTGATCTTATTTTCACCTCCCTTTGTGCCGCCATTGTTCTACAAATTAGCAAGGCCTATACCTGGAGTATGCTGCATAGTTGTGGTGTAATAATATATATATATAACTGTAGGTCTACAATTATTTAGTTTCTATCAAAATAACTTATAGATTTAGGCAGTGTTAAGTATGATAGGTAAAGTATATACCTGGAGAATCTGCTATATGCATTATGAATGCATATAGCAGGGGAGAGTAATCTCCCCTGAAGGCATAGATTACGTAGAACTGTTGGCCTGGGAACCCACCAACGACCTTCAGTAGCTGTCTGCAGTCTGTTATTTGTTACATGGTTTCCGTCGGGATGTTGGTGGGTTCCGGGTTTGGGTAGTGGTTGTGGTGGGTGTTCTACGTTTTTTATGCCTTTGGTCAAACTGTTCAAAGTTAAATATTGATTCATTGACTTTACACAGTTTCATCATTTTGGGAAATTTAAGCGACGTTCAGGTTCCTATGAATATAAAAGTATTAGCGATCAGAATTGCAGTTGGTCTGAAGTTTGTAAGTTGTGAAGTGTAACACTTCTGGCAGCAGATGTTATTGATGAAAATAATGAAAACCTCGTGATCTGCTGTGGTGTTAGTCGACAGAAAGTCTTCACTAACATATGATGCTGATGAGTGTAGTTAGGGGGGTGATTTAGATTGGTATTAATGAGACTAGGATTATTAACCCTACTGGGTTAGAAACCCAGAAAAATAAGAGGTAGAGAGTGGGTGGGGGGGGGGGCTTGATGACGCAGTTCTCAGGTCGTGCCCAGGATACCAGTCATAACTGGCAGGTAAGGTAGGTTATGAATACAGGCTAGCATAGTAGTGTGTTAGGAGACTGGTATACAACAGAGCTACAACTTCTTACATAACCCATAGCTTAGCAAACTAACAACCAACACTACATGTCCCTCATAGCAAACTATGAGGGACACGTAGTGTTGGTTGTGTTAATGATCCTAACTACCTTCATGTTAAATTTGGATGCCCTTTAAGGGGTGTCTTTGTATCAAGATGCAACTGTTTGTACTGTGAATGATCCAAGGAAGGGGGAGGGTACTTACAATCAGGTTTGACTTTCGTTGACCTGTCCCCTGAGAGTTTACCCCTCCCCCCCATTGTTTGAATGGGGGGAGGGGTAAACTCTCGGGGGACAGGTCAATGAAAGTCGATAGCATAGATTTTTTTTCCAGTTAGACGCCTGTATTTAAGGAATGTTAGGACCAGGTATCTGTTACCGAGTTAGTGTAAACTTTTGTCAGGATTTGTTTAATTGCAGGACAGAGGTAATCGCGTGTTGTCTGCAGTGTACTAATAGCCTGTGTTAGAAGACTTTTGTACAAGACTTTCCACTGCCCAACGTCGCAACGCTGACCTCCCTGATAAACGCCAGGTCATGAAATTTAAAAATATAATATACCTCAAACTATTAATAATGGCAGTGTTGAGGCTGTCCGCCTCAGTGTTACTATTGTTAATAGGGTTGGGGTAGGTATATTTTTTTTTTTTTCCCCGAGCTTAAAGCTCCCGAATTGTGTGAATGTTGTCTCCTGCTGACAAATACAGCAGTTGATTGAGGCTTAATAAATTATTATTTTGTGTTCCTTGAACACATTTGTGTGTGTGTGTTCCTTTAACTTTAGCTGTGATAAAATTATCTTTAATCTTGTCTTAAGTTCATCAAATCTTGTAGGTTGAAGAATCTGCGTGCTGTGAGCAGCTGCTGTGTAGTGAAGACAGTGTTGCGAGCAGCTGCTGTGTGGTGAAGACAGTGCTGTGGGCAGCTGCTGTGTGGTGAAGACCGTGCTGTGGGCAGCTGCTGTGTGGTGAAGACCGTGCTGTGGGCAGCTGCTGTGTGGTGAAGACCGTGCTGTGGGCAGCTGCTGTGTGGTGAAGACCGTGCTGTGGGCAGCTGCTGTGTGGTGAAGACAGTGTTGTGGGCAGCTGCTGTGTGGTGAAGACAGTGTTGTGGGCAGCTGTGTGGAGAATATGTGGGCAGCTGCTGTGTGGTGAAGACCGTGCTGTGGGCAGCTGCTGTGTGGTGAAGACCGTGCTGTGGGCAGCTGCTGTGTGGTGAAGACCGTGCTGTGGGCAGCTGCTGTGTGGTGAAGACCGTGTTGTGGGCAGCTGCTGTGTGGTGAAGACAGTGTTGTGGGCAGCTGCTGTGTGGTGAAGACAGTGTTGTGGGCAGCTGCTGTGTGGTGAAGACCGTGCTGTGAGCAGCTGCTGTGTAGTGAAGACAGTGCTGTGGGCAGCTGCTGTGTGGTGAAGACCGTGCTGTGGGCAGCTGCAAGTCTTCAGAGATGTCATCACCAGCAGCAACACACCTAAACAATGTCTGCAAAGATAAAAGTATGGACATTACTAATTATTCATGAACTGCAGTGAGCAATAGTTTGATATCTTACTATGTATTTACAACGTTTCCTTCAATATTTTGTAGAAAAAAAAATTAAAAATGTTTTCAAAGCTAATCTGTTAAATATTTCTATGAAATTAGAGATCAATTTTGTACAGTACCAGAGGTTGATGGAGCTGGAGGTGTTGATGGTGTGGTGGCTGGCAGAGCAGTGACTAGTGGCGCCACTATTCTTGACCTCCATGACTAAATGGCGCCATTGACCTGGAGGAGGGGGGTGATGACGTCAGTGGTTGTTTGTGGGGAGGGGAAGGGGAGGGGGTTGGCTGCTGGTGAAGGGGCTTAGGGATGAGGAGTTGTTACTGGTGGAAGGGTGATGGGGAGGGGGGATGGTTGTCACTTGGTAATTACTAAGGAACTAACAGTCTTGTTACTGTGTTAACGTACTTTCAACTAACTTTCAAACGCCCTGGACACTGACCCAACAACACTCGTTTACCACATATTCGTATTTCTAATGAACAATGTCCATGGACTCGTGTTGAAAATCGTCTCCTTGATGTTGGGTTTACGTATTTGACATCTCTTGTGGGTTTAGTGCTTAGTTTTGATAGTGGTAAACCATTATTGTCTTCCTTTTCAGATGACTTTTTTTTTTTTTTTTTTTTTTCTTCGCCGGTACTCTCCCGGCCCGGGTCTTTTCCAAGTAGTGGTGACCCGGCCTTGGCTCCCTATCTGGGGAGTGTCTCGAGACTTAAGTCTCCCATGGGAGGAGGTACAAGTACCCCCTCATCTTTGGGACCAAGTGTCCCCAGATGACACCCGAATTTGCATGACAGTGTCCTCCACTGAGGACACTGCAAGACTCCAGCCGGACATCAACCAAATCTTTAAATGGGCCGCAGAAAACAATATGACAGTCAGTGATGAGAAATTTCAATTAGTCCGATATGGAAAACGTGAGGAAATTAAAATTATATGGGAGTATAAAACAAATTCCAACCATACCTGGAGTTTACCTGGATAGAGTTCCGGGGGTCAACGCCCCCTCGGCCCGGTATGTGACCAGGCCTCCTGGTGGATCAGAGCCTGATCAACCAGGCTGTTGCTGCTGGCTGCACGCAAACCAACGTACGAGCCACAGCCCGGCTGGTCAGGAACCGACTTTAGGTGCTTGTCCAGTGCCAGCTTGAAGACTGCCAGGGGTCTGTTGGTAATCCCCCTTATGTGTGCTGGGAGGCAGTTGAACAGTCTCGGGCCCCTGACACTTATTGTATGGTCTCTTAACGTGCTAGTGACACCCCTGCTTTTCATTGGGGGGATGGTGCATCGTCTGCCAAGTCTTTTGCTTTCGTAGTGAGTGATTTTCGTGTGCAAGTTCGGTACTAGTCCCTCTAGGATTTTCCAGGTGTATATAATCATGTATCTCTCCCGAAAAGATATAAAACACATTAGTAATTATTATATAGTGTAGAGTGAATATACTGAAAATTAGTCCAAGTTATTCTTGAAGTCAAGAAAATTGAGAAAAATAACCTCAAACGTCTTTTTCGGAGCCTAATATATTTTTTTTATGAAAACTGGTGTTTATCATTCACTTTAGTTCATTTCTTACTTGTAATTCAACTTAATTTCCATGTTGAGGGCTCCCCAAACCCAAAGTGCCCCAGGTCCCCCAAACCTAAAGTGCCCCGAGCCCCCCAAGGTCTAAATCCGGTCCTGACCTGGGTGTTAGTGGACTGGTGTGGGTCACATCCTGGGTGTTAGTGGACTGGTGTGGGTCACATCCTGGGTGTTAGTGGACTGGTGTGGGTCACATCCTGGGTGTTAGTGGACTGGTGTGTGTCACATCCTGGGTGTTAGTGGACTGGTGTGGGTCACATCCTGGGTGTTAGTGGACTGGTGTGTGTCACATCCTGGGTGTTAGTGACTGGTGTGTCACACCTGGGTGTTAGTGGACTGGTGTGGGTCACTGACCTGGTGTTAGTGGACTGGTGTGTGTCACATCCTGGGTGTTAGTGGACTGGTGTGTGTCACATCCTGGGTGTTAGTGGACTGGTGTGGGTCACATCCTGGGTGTTAGTGGACTGGTGTGTGTCACATCCTGGGTGTTAGTGGACTGGTGTGTGTCACATCCTGGGTGTTAGTGGACTGGTGTGGGTCACATCCTGGGTGTTAGTGGACTGGTGTGTGTCACATCCTGGGTGTTAGTGGACTGGTGTGGGTCACATCCTGGGGACAAATTAGACCTAATTTACGGGAAATGCTCTACATAACAAGCGGCTTTGTATATAGTAGTATATTTAGTCCTCCCTTTTGATAATAATAAAAATCTATATAGCAGTATGTCATTGATGTCAGATATGGTGTGTAAACCCCAATGGAAATAAGTCACTCTGTCTGACTTTTTTGGGTTATCCTAGGTTCTCTACACATATGCTGCTATGTATGATAATTCTATGTAACTGTATTTGTGTATACCTGAATAAACTTACTTACTTACTTACTAACCCCAGTGGAAATAAGTCACTTTATTATGTTATCACAGGTTCTCTACACACATGCTGCTATGTATGATAATCTATGTAACTGTATTTATGTATACATGAGTAAAGTTAATTATTTAGTTACTAGAAATAAAGATATATGGATAATAAGAAGAGTGAGGTGTGAGTGACCCTTACATCCCACAACAAAGATGGCGGCTACTGTGACACTCCAGGTCTACTTCAGGTCTATTTTCTTCACTAACAACGGTGTTTTGAGATCATTTCAGAGAAAATCCTGGAGGCATTGTAGTACAAGTGTCAATATATATAATGGTGAGGCAGTTTTTATATAGTTAGCAGCTAAATTTATATGTGAAGTATATATATTGAAAGTGACCAAGAATGTTTATTTTCCGGCAAAGTTTACAATGTTTTTATATTATTTCGTAGTGACTTGTGGGTTTAGCGCTTCTTTTTGATATTAGTTGCATATTGATATAAAAGTTTGGTAACTGAAGTGATTAATTAGATTTATGATAGTATAAAATATATGTTAGTTAATTTAGTAATGGGAATACGTCAATTTGTGCGGCCAGCAGTAACAGCCTGGTTGATCAGGTCCTCATCCACCACCAGGCCTGGTCACACACCGACCCGCAGGGGCGTTGACCCCCAGAACCCACTCCAGTTATATTACTGTATACTACAGATATGCTCCTAGTATACCCCAGGTATACCCCAGGTATACCCTAGGTATACCCCAGGTATACCCCAGGTATACCCCAGGTGTACCCTAGGTATACTCCAGGTATACCCCAGGTATACCCTAGGTATACTCCAGGTATACCCCAGGTATACCCCAGGTATACCCTAGGTATACCCCAGGTATACCCTAGGTATACTCCAGGTATACCCCAGGTATACCCCAGGTATACTCCAGGTGTACCCCAGGTATACTCCAGGTATACCCCAGGTATACCCCAGGTATACCCCAGGTATACTCCAGGTATACCCAAGGTATACCCCAGGTATACCCCAGGTATACTCCAGGTATACCCCAGGTATACTCCAGGTATACCCCAGGTATACTCCAGGTATACCCCAGGTATACTCCAGGTGTACCCCAGGTATATCCCAGGTGTACTCCAGGTATATCTCAGGTGTACTCCAGGTATACTCCAGGTATACCCCAGGTATACTCCAGGTATACCCCAGGTATACTCCAGGTATACCCCAGGTATACCCCAGGTATACTCCAGGTATACCCCAGGTATACTCCAGGTATACCCCAGGTATACTCCAGGTATACCCCAGGTATACTCCAGGTATACCCCAGGTATACCCCAGGTATACCCCAGGTATACCCCAGGTATACTCCAGGTATACTCCAGGTATACCCCAGGTATACCCCAGGTATACTCCAGGTATACCCCAGGTATACCCCAGGTATATTAAAGTTTATATATTGGGAGAGTATCTTAGACAAACTTAGGACTAACTTAAGATTTATTATTCAATAACTCTATTAGAAATTTTATGTTTACAGTCGAACCCGGAGTTTCGGTTGTAATCCGTTCCAGGAGGTAGGCCTAAACTCGAAACAGCCTAAAGTCAAAGCAATATTTCCCATAAATAATGTAAATACAATTAATCCGTTCCAGACTCACAAAAAAATATGTTTTTTAAACATTAACTAGAGTTTAACGTACATAGAGTACTTAAATGAGTAATACAATACATAAACATTTAAAATCACATTTACGTACCTTTATTGAAGAGTTGTGGTGGGATCTGGAAGGTGAAGGGGGGGGGGAGAAATTATTGTTTGGAAGGGGAATCCCATTCCATAAAGACTTTAGGTAGCAGGTTGATGAAATATAGACACGTGTGCAACATCTGGGTATCTTTATTGTAGACGTTTCGCCATCCACTGGCTTTATCTATACAAATTCCAGGACATAACTTGAAGACTATGGTGATCTTCGCACCAACTCCAAGGTTGAGGGACTGATTACCTCATCTTCTGTATATAGTTCTACTGTCTTCAAGTTATGTCCTGGAATTTGTATTGATAAAGCCACTGGAGGGCGAAACGTCTACAATAAAGATACGCAGATGTTACACATGTGTCTTAATTTCATCTTCTTGTCGGTATTATATACCATTCTTGCACAGGTAGCAGGTTGTTATCTGGGTTTACTTCCCTTCTTTGTCTTTTAATACACTAGGACCACCGTGAGAGTCACTGGACCCGTCGCACAAAATAACTGTCAAGAGTGCTACGTTTCTGGCATCTCTTAAGATTTGCCTAAAATTGGACATTATTTTCTCACTGAACATGTTGCAGAGATGGCTTGTTTCACCTTGCTCAGGGTGGTATTTTTCCACAAAACTTTGCATCTTATTCTACATTCCGCACATGTCCTTAATTACTGAAGAAGACGCCACCTTCACTCCCTCTTCTTCCTCGTCTGAAGCAAGTTCCTCAGCTGTGGTCTGATGCCACTAGAAAGTTTCTTTGGGCCCATGGTGGCTTATTTCACAGTCACAATCAATAAACAAGCACTAAGCACAATGAATTTATTGTGAAATGTTTGGATGAGCACGCACGGGAATGTTCACTCAGGGATAAACGCAGTTAGAGTGGCTCACGACGCCTGTGCAGGCAGGTGGAGGGGTCTGGTATGCCGGCTGAAAAATGGGGCACAGGCCAAAACTCGGGACGAAATTTAGCCGAAAAAAAGTCGAAACTCGAAGAGGCTGATACTCAGGGCGACCGAAACTTGGGGTTCCACTGTACAGTTATTTGGGTGAATGTAAATTATGGGGAAATTACAGATAACGAGAGTAAGACTATATTGTTTTAGATGTGTTCATGATACAAATAAAGTGAATTAGATGGTTTTCACTTAGTGGCGATGATGGGGTGTGTTAGGGAGATAAGATTTTTTTTAACAGTAGTTTTGAAAATGGTGGTTGAGTCTGCCGTTCTGGAGTTTTCAGGTGGAAGTTCCAGATTTTAGGTCCTTTTATGTACATCAAATTTTTGTAGAGATTTAGCCGGACATGGAGGAATGTTGTAGAGATTTTTGTGTCTGGTATTGTGTCTGTGGGTCCTGTCACAACTATCAAAGTGTTTTACTTCAGGATTAATATTAGAATTTATGTTTCTGTAAATGTAGGTTGTACAGTAGTAAGTGTGAATATTCTGTACAGTAAGTTTAGGTCTTTGAAGAGTGGGGGGGAGGGTGTTGTCTTGGATTGGATTGCATAATAATCCTTATTGTGGCTCTCTGTTCGGTTATTATTGGCTTTTGGTGGGTTGTTGCTGTTGATCCCCGGCACAGATAGCATAGGTGAGGTAGGGATAGATGAGTGAATAGTATAGTGAGAGTTGGGCTGATTGTGGTACATAGTAACATTGAGAGGATTCCAACTGTTTTGGATACTTAAATGACAAGAAGGCACAATACTGTGACTGGAACTATATACACATAACCCGCACATAGAGAGGAGCTTACCAAAACGTTTCGGTCTAACTTGGACCATTTACAAGTGACTCTGTAAATGGTACAAGTCAGACCGAAACATTGTCGTCAGCTCCTTTCTCCTATGTGCTGGTTATTTGTGTATTGTTTTGGATACTTTTTTCATGTGTTGGATATGGGTGTTGCATTTCAGGTTGCTGTCAAGGTGCTAATTAAATGGGACCTCAACAGTGTGTTACTTTTGACTTTATTGGGTTACCTTTACTTAATCTACAATAAGTATTATATTTACCAAGAATTTTATTGGTTATATTTAAGATTTTGCTGGGATTTTTAACCCCAGAGGGTTAGCCAGCCAGGATAACCCAGGGTAGGGAATGTTAGAGGTTAACCCAGGGTTGTTAGGGTTATCCTGGATGTTCCTCACCTCACACCTGCTGTCACTGTTCACCTAGCAGTAAATAGGTATCTGGGAGTTAGTCGATCGGTGTGGGTCGCATCCTGGGGAAGAAGATTAAAGGGCCACAATGGAAACAAGACAGTCGCCAATGAAGCACAGTCATTATTGGGTTATCCTTAATAGCTAACCCTCCAGGTTAAAAATCCCATCAAAATCTTATCATATAAGGTTCAATAGAATTTAGATGTTTTCTTACATAAAATATGATATCCTTCTGTTCTACAAAGTGCTAAAGAATAAATTACATGAAAAAAAAAAAATTTCACCGTTGTCTTCATACCCGTCTCTGGGGGAAGAGGATTATGAGTTAGAATGTCAAGTTTATAAGATGGTATGGTATAAGTATTTTTTATAGAGTCAGTTCAACTGGTAAGTGACACCAACAGTGACTGAGAATGATGGTCCACCAGCACAGAGTTGAGTCATGATCCTCTTAAGCGTGTTTGGTAAGCAGGGTGGTCATGTAGTCTCATGGTTTTTTCTCAGAGTTAAGCTTAATCAGGTCAAAAATCAGTAAAATATTACGAATAAAATTTTCTTCTGCGTACCGTCTATCACTGATACTGGTGAAGGGCTCTTCATCCAGGGAATTGGAGTTATCCTCCACTACTTTGATTTCTCTTGAAAAATGTTTAATTACTGATTATCTGTATAACAGAATTTGTAGACTGTTAACCTTAAACTGTCCAAATGTAGATCTAGGTTGACGTGCGTAGCGCTCCGATTGTAGATCTACTTTTTTTTACATAAAGCATGTATAATCGGACGTAGATCTACATCCGGAGCACTACGCACGTCAACATAGATCTACGTTTGGACAGTTTAAGGGTTAAAAAGTGATTTTTGCTTTACTTGGGGGTTTCTTAATTCATTTTGGTTAGCTAACCTGTACAGTAATTCTTGTGCATTTGAAACCAACATATTTTATGTCAACAGATCGTGATCCAGCACCGGTATTTTTCAGTGAAAATGTTCAGACGATATTGAAGAAAATTACTGGGACGGACTTCAACAAAGTGTTTAGGCAAAGGTTTGACGAGAAGAAACTTAGTCCACCTGAATATAAATTCATGACAGATGAAGAACTTAAACAGGTGAGATACTGAGAGCTATAAAAGTAGCCAGAGGTGTTTTGTTTGTAAGGAGAAATGGGAAAATTTTTTACTTCTAATGGTTACCTTACCTATAACCTTACTAGACTGTAACCCAAATTAATTTTTCAAGTTCCTTTACTAAATTGAACTTGAGTTCCTGAATTGAATGTCATCTAATGTACAAAATAGTACCTATAATGTCGGCTGTCATGTAATATAAAAAATAGTACATATAGACTTACTAGACTATAACCCAACTAATTTCATAGAATCATGTACAGTGATATGCCCTTTTGTAGTGTTAATTTAGGCTTAATCCTCTTAAATTGACCTCTTCGCTTTCGGGCCGGGAGGTTGTGCTGCACCTTAGCTCTTGCAGTCGTCACACACCCTTGGTGGAGAGCGGACATTGGCTGTTGTGCTTCTGTCTGTTGGTAGCACTGCGAGATTTTCTCAAGATGGCGCAGGCTATCAGGAGACGTGTCAACACTGTATGCATAGAAGTGCTGAAAGGCGCGGTGTATAACACAAATGCATCTGTTCTACTGCCTGCTATCTTACGAGATACATATGGAATCAACAATGAAGATCTGTATGGCATTGCATTAAATGGCTCAACGAGAATATTCGTGAAATTTGTGACGACTGTGACGTATGACAAAATGGTGGATCAGTACCAGGATGTGTGTATGACAGTTAACCCTGATTTGGAAGTGAGAATGAGGGACGTGTCCAAGTACTATACTTGGGTAAAAATACGGAATGTCCCCTTCGAGGCGGATGAAGAAGACATCAAAGCATCGTTTGAGGAATGTGGAGTAATACATCAAGCTACGATTGGACGATGGTCAGATGGTATGTATGTGGGACTGCATGAGGGATCTTTCACTCTCAAAATGTCCTTGCGACGATCCATACCTTCATTTGTGGCTTTGAGTGATTTTAAAACTCAGGTTTATGTCACATATGCCGGGCAAAGGAAAACCTGTCGATTGTGTGGTGCATTTGAACATGTGGCTGCAGTGTCCACAATGGTCGTCGGCCAGGACACAGGGAGCAGGGACAGGAGGGGAAAAGGAAAGAGAGGTGATGTCCCAGTCTACAGGAGAACATATTCGGGAACGTAGGCCGTGGAGTGAGACTGTCGTTGATAATCCAGAGGAGTGTGCTACGTTACCGGTGGTAACACAGGACGTTGAAAAAATATGTATGGAGGAAGGGGTGGAACAAGTGGATTTGGGTAGTGAAGTGTCGGCTTCCATAAATAATGTTATAAAGGAATTTTTGGATGATCAGCATGAAGATGGAATGCTGAATATAGGCTTGCATGAGCAACATGTGAATCAGGAAGGGGTACATGAGGGAGGCAATGTGAGTAGGAGGGATGGGCAAACACAAGGACTCTGTGAAACTGTAGTTGAAATACACAAGGAAGGCAGTCCGAAAGAAATGATCACTGTTGCGACTTCACGTAAGAGGGGGCAGTTGCCTCGGACAGTGATGATATCTTACGCCTGCACAACGTTCGGGTAAAAAACAAACAGTTGATGTGGCTAGGAAAGTCAGGGGGGGAGGGGGTAAGGAGAAGGAGAAAGACATGACTAGGAACAGGCATAGTGAAAAGAATACTGATCAAAAACGTAAAGAAACACATGATAAGAGATCGATTGGTAAGCCCCCGTTAGCATTTTTAAGTGTTTAACATTGAATATAAATGGTCTCAGGGCCGAAGTGAAAAGGAGGATGTTCAGGGCCTTTTTAAGGCGATATGGGGTACATGTTATCCTTTTACAAGAGCATAATTTTAAGTTTGGTCGGGATTTATTAGTTGACGAATACAAAGTTTATGCTGGGTATACAGGTAAACTCAAGGGAGGTGCTGCAGTTTTAATAGCGGAGACCAGTCCATTTCAAATGTTACACTGGGAAGAAGGGGGGGATGGGAGACTAGTAAGGGTGGATGGTACATGGGGTGGGGTTCCTGTGTGTTAAGTGTTTATATGCCTGCTGATAGCAATAGGCGCATAAAGGAAGATTTTGTGAGGGATGTTCTTATTTATCATATGCGAGGGGTTCCTATATATACATTATTTGGGGGGGATTGGAATTGTGTAATCCATAGGAAGGATGTGGAGCCGAGAGGAGCTGGGTGTGTGTTGGGGGTCCTACGTGATGCTTTAGGGGGAGCAGGCTTAGCGGATGTAGTGAGGGGGGAGGGGTGGAACGTGGAGCATACTTATGTGAGGAGAGGATATGCGGCACGATTAGACCGTATTTATACTTCTCCCGGGTTACAGGTTGCTAATACAGAAACTATAAACATTGTGTTTTCAGATCATAGAGGAGTGGCCGTGGATGTGGGATGGGTGGTTTGCCAAAGCGTTACATGAGTTATTGGAAACTTAATGTGAGATTGTTAGATGAGCAGGACAACGGTGTTAGTTTTGTTGAGTGGTGGACAAACGAGTGGACCAAGGGGAAAAAGGGAGGCGATATACTACAATGGTGGGAGGAATATGCTAAACCAGGAATCAAGAATTTTTATATGAGGAAAGGAAAGGAGGTATGTCATTCGAAATGTGGCTTACAGAGATATTTAGAAGGGCAGTTGAAACAGTGCTATGAAGGTTTCAGTGGGGTTTATCCAGTACAAGAGATTGAGGGCATCAAAGCGCAATTGATGGAAATGCAGAATGCAAGATTTGATGGCGAGAGATTGAGAGGTGTGTGTAAAGGTAGAAAGTTGAAAGTGAACATAGAAAAGAGTAAGGTGATGAGGGTATCAAATGATTTAGATAAAGAAAAATTGGATATCAAATTGGGGAGGAGGAGTATGGAAGAAGTGAATGTTTTCAGATACTTGGGAGTTGACGTGTTGGCGGATGGATTTATGAAGGATGAGGTTAATCATGGAATTGATGAGGGGAAAAAAGGCGAGTGGTGCGTTGAGGTATATGTGGAGTCAAAAAACGTTATCTATGGAGGCAAAGAAGGGAATGTATGAAAGTATAGTAGTACCAACACTCTTATATGGATGTGAAGCTTGGGTGGTAAATGCAGCAGCGAGGAGACGGTTGTAGGCAGTGGAGATGTCCTGTCTAAGGGCAATGTGTGGTGTAAATATTATGCAGAAAATTCGGAGTGTGGAAATTAGGAAAAGGTGTGGAGTTAATAAAAGCATTAGTCAGAGGGCAGAAGAGGGGTTGTTGAGGTGGTTTGGTCATTTAGAGAGAATGGATCAAAGTAGAATGACATGGAAAGCATATAAATCTATAGGGGAAGGAAGGAGGGGTAGGGGTCGTCCTCGAAAAGGTTGGAGAGAGGGGGTAAAGGAGGTTTTGTGGGCGAGGGGCTTGGACTTCCAGCAAGCGTGCGTGAGTGTGTTAGATAGGAGTGAATGGAGACGAATGGTAGTTGGGACCTGACGATCTGTTGGAGTGTGAGCAGGGTAATATTTAGTGAAGGGATTCAGGGAAACCGGTTACTTTCATATAGTTGGACTTGAGTCCTGGAAATGGGAAGTACAATGCCTGCACTCTAAAGGAGGGGTTTGGAATATTGGCAGTTTGGAGGGATATGTTGTGTATCTTTATATGTATATGCTTCTAAACTGTTGTATTCTGAGCACCTCTGCAAAAAAGTAATAATGTGAGTGTGATGAAAGTGTTGAATGATGATGGAAGTATTTTCTTTTTGGGGATTTTCTTTCTTTTTTGGGTCACCCTGCCTTGGTGGGAGATGGCCAACTTGTTAAAAAAAAAAAAAAAAAAAAAAAGATTGAGAGGTGGAATGGAAGATGTTTTATGGGGAGATAAGCCATCTGCCTATGTATTGCGGTGATTAAAGACACGACAGAGGATAATGACTATGTAGGTGAATGGTTCACAGAACCGACACGTTGATAAATTAGACACATGTGCAACTCTTGGGAATCTTTATTAAGGAAACGTTTTGCCACACAGTGGCTTCATCAGTCCATACACAGGAGAAGCTTGAAGAATAGGAGGAGAATGAGGTAATCAGTCCCTCAACCTTTGAGTCGATGTGGTTAGTCCATCAATCTTGAGTAGAATACGGCATATGAGCGGAGAAGGAGCTTATAAACCGTAGGTAGGAGAGGTGCACCTCTTAAAGCTACCCAAGGTCCTAGCCTCCATCACCCTACTGGTAAGTGTGATGTTAAATAAGAAATTAAGAAAGTAGGAACACTGGAACAGGCCTGCTGGCCCATACTAGGCTGCTCCTTCACAAATCCAACCCACTAACAGAACAAATGCTACCCAAGCAATAAGCTCAGGTGCAAGTCCGACTCAAATCCAACCCCTTTCACTCGTGTATTTATCCAACCTAAATTTGAAACTACCCAAGCCATAGATTTTAGAACATTGGAAAGGAGGAACACTGCAATAAGCCTGTTGGCCCATACTAGGCCAGTCCTTCACAAATCCAACCCACTAACAGAACAAATGCTACCCAAGCAATAAGCTCAGGTGCAAGTCCGACTCAAATCCAACCCCTCTCTCTCGTGTATTTATCCAACCTAAATTTGAAACTACCCAATGTTTTAGCTTTGATCACCCTACTAGGCAGACTGTTCCACTCATCAACTACCCCTATTACCAATGTTCATTTATACATTTTATTAGTGCCCTAGAGTCCTTATGGAGGGGGATTCCCCTTCCAAATAACCTCTCTTCCCTCTCTTCTCCTCCCTGTCTTCCATTCATCAACAACAGCCTTCAATAAAGGTAACTGTCATGTTGAATGTTCATTCTTTTGTGCATGTAAATCTATCTTTTAGGTAAAAAAAAAATTTTTGTTGATACTTCTGGGTGTCTGGAACGAATTAATTGGATTTACATTATTTTTTATGTGGAAAATTTATTCGAAAATCGTCCATTTCGATAATAGTCCCACTTCCAGGAACGGATTATGGACGATTATTGAGGGACCACTGTATTTATATCATTTCTATATACGTGACTATATATGTATATTTGTATGCATTGTTTTAAATAAAATATAAAAAAAAATCCTCTTAATCCTCTCCAAGATAGGATACTACGTGCCACAAACTGCCCTTCTCACACTATACCATTCACTTATATATCCATACCTCACCTATGCTATCTGTGCTTGGGGATCAACTGCAGCAACACGCCTAAAGCCAATAATAACCCAACAAAAAGCTGCAGTAAGAATAATCACTAAATCCCATCCCTGGCAACACACCCCCCACTCTTCATAGATCTAAACTTACTCCCTGTTCAGAACATCCACACTTACTACTGTGCAATCTATATCCACAGGACCTTAAATTCCAATATTAACCTTGACCTAAAATGCTTTCTTGATAGTTGTGACAGGATCCACAGGCATAACACCAGACACAAACATCTCTATGACATTCCCTGTGTTCGACTAAACCTTTACAAAAATTCAATGTATTTCAAAGGACCTAAAATCTGGAACACCCTACCTGAAAACTCTAGAACTGCAGACACATTCATCACTTTCAAAACTACAGTTAGAAAACATCTTATCTCCCTGATACACCCCGACAACTAACTACATGATAACCACCTGGTGGTTCACAATTACACTCACTCACCCACTGACTATAAACCCAGAAATACTAATCTTAATCTTAAAATAATAAATCCTAACTAGTCATAAGTTTGCCTATGATACTCCAATATAGACACTTTGTATTGTGCCAAAACAAAAGCATTCACATTGTTAAACTCACAAATTATGATGTAGTCACTTAGCCTTAATACCATAATCTGTAAGGATTTAATGTTAAAAATTAATCTAAGTCTGATCGAAATGCCTAGCCATGCTAGGTGTCCTAGTGGCCCCCTCTGTAATTAGTATTTTATAACATGTAAACAACACAATACCCAAAACCTGTAAACCCCGCATTGTAACCCTTATAGAGAATAAACTTGAATTGAATTAATCTTGCCTGAAATGCTTTGCATAACTTTGCCTGCACATGTCAAAGCCAGTCATAGCATGAACCAGGTCAAGAAGAGTGCCAAAATGTGCCTGATGAATGTAGCCACAGAAAGGGAGGAGAATGATTTTTTATTTTTTTAGTTAACATACATGTATATATAAATAACTCATGTTACCTTATTCCTTTATAGTGTAATAATAAGGTATTAAAAGGACCCCAGTGGAAATAAGTCACTTAGACTTTTTTTGGGTTATCCTAGGTTGTCTACACACATGCTGCTAAGTATGATAATCTATGTAACTATTTGTGTATACCTGAATAAACTTTTTCTTACCTATTATATTTAGGGATGTTCCTTGATGGCAGTGAGGGTGGGGTCAGGGACAACCTTCATCAAAGGAACAGGGCCTGATCTCCCCTTCCTTTGATCAAACAGTATTGCCTCGATTTCCCCTCCCCAACAAGTCTATTATACTTCCTTCTTCCTCTGATCATATAGTATAATGTCAGCTATTAGTCATGTGATGATCTATTCAGTGGATCTTTTAATCATATGACGGAGACTTTCAGGCGTACTGGTCTGTAAACGCAGGTGTTTATCTTGTGATAACCTGCCTGGTATTGCTTAGGTCATATGACCGAGGTTCTTCCCTGGCTGATAAAAGTTCCAGCCATACGAAAGGCCTTTTACTGGCTTACTTTGGAAATAGCCTTGTAAATGGAACTCGAGTAAAGACATTTTGTTTCTTTATAATAAGCTGTAATATGCCAAAAAATATGTCTAGAGTAATGCATATCTGCAGTTTACAATTAGAATTTAAATAATTACAATTAATAATAATGAATACGTAATATGACAGTAGAACACGGATTTTTTGGTGATCACTAATTTGGTGTTTAACACTACACAAATAACCCGCACATAAGAGAGAGAAGCTTACGACGACGTTTCGGTCCGACTTGGACCATTGACAAAGTCAATGGTTATTTATTGGTGTTTAACATTATTCAAGTAGTTCCCAGAGGAACTGGTTCCAAATCTACACACACAAATCACTCCCTATGAAAGCAAAAGACTTAGCAGGAGTGCAACATCCCCCCAATGAAAAGCAAAGGTGCTATGAGTACACTAAGAGATAACACACTAAGTGTCAGGGGCCCAAGATTGTTCAACTGCCTCCCAGCATACATAAGAGAGATTACCAATAGACTCCTGGCTGTCTAAAGTCAGCACCCGACCAGCTGGGCTGTGGTTCATATGTTGGATTGCATGTAGGTGACAATAACAGCTTGGTTGATCAGGTCCTGATCCACCATGAGGCCTATTCATGGACCGGGTCACAGGGGTGTTGACAAACAGAACACCCGCCAGATATTATCCAAAACGTAAATAGTTGCTTATGAAAGAGACCAAAGAAGATTGTGATCATTTGGTTTAGTTGAAAAATTTGTGTGTTGATAAACCAATAAATCCATGAATTTTTTGTATAGTTTATGAGTTTTATATTTGTTGGGAAGAAATCTTATTTGAAAATGAAAGTTTTTTACATAGAAATTTTTTTTTTTAACATTAATCTGGCACAGTAGTTGAATTTACAACTAATTTACAACTAAATTACAACTAATCTATAATTTAGCAAAGAAACTTTAATTCACTCGGAACTTTAAATAGTCCAGGACAGACAAAAATGTTGTCCAAAGTTTTCTTTCCAAATTGCGACTTGTTTCTTTACAGTAATTCAGTATTATATACACTGGTGTGTGGCTGGCAGTAACAGTCTGGTTGATCAGGCCTCTGATTCACCACGAGGCCTGGTCATGGACCAGGCTGTGGGGGCGTTGACTCCCAGAACAGCCTCCAGGTATACTCTAGATATATTCCAGGGGCTCTTGAGATTAAACTAGTGTGATACTTAAGATTTCGTTTGGACTTTTAACCCTGAAGGGTTAGCCACCCAGGATAACCCAAGAAAAGCAGTGTCATCGAGGGACTGTCCATCTTATTTCCATTGGGATCCTCAATCTTGTCCCCCAGGATGTGACCCACACCAGTTGACTAACACCCAGGTACCTACTTGCTGCTAGGTGAACAGCACAATAGGTGTAAGGAAACTCGTTGAAATGTTTCTACCCCACAGAGAATCGAACCCGGGCCCTCCATGTGTGAAGCTAGGGCCTTGCCAGCCAGGCCACTTATGGGTTTAAAACTTTCCAGAAATCCCCCTCATATTCCATGTTAAATTATTGAAAACTTCTATTACTAGGAATTTCTTCAAACACAAAAATTTATTTTACAGAAAATGAAAAATGCAGAGAGACTCTCGAGTAAAATTCTTCAGATGCCTCCGGTGTTGAAGGAACGCCAGGCCATTTCTAACATCTTATCAAGAGATCCCGCCATCACAGGATTTGAAAATTGCAAATTTGTTTTCACAGACATTACTTATGGATTGCCTGATAGGGTAAGTTCCTTCGTTTTCTACTTTGTGCATTATTGCTGAGGAAAATCTTTTTCATTTGTATTGTGTTCAGTGAGAATGGAGAAAATGTTGAAATGTAATTCTGGCAGTACAGCAATATGCTTCAGGCTGGAAAAAGGTGATTCCAGGAAAATATTGTGATGAGGATATGTTACTAGAGGGATCCTCCATGTATTCCACCTTCCTGAATGTAAATTTGTCTCTGACTGCTTAAAACTGCACAATTCTCACAAACTTTTTGACTAGTTTTCTTAAAACTATTGTAGTTTAAACAGAGCTACTGTATTAGCAAATTTAATGTTAAAAAAAAAAAGTTGGCCGTCTCCCACCGAGGCAAGGTGACCCAAAAAGAAAGAAAATCCCCAAAAAGAAAATACTTTCATCATCATTCAACACTTTCACCTCACTCACACATAATCACTGTTTTTGCAGAGGTGCTCAGAACACAACAGTTTAGAAGTACAGTGGACCCCCGGCTTACGATATTATTTCATTCCAGAAGTATGTTCAGGTGCCATTACTGAACGAATTTGTTCCCATAAGGAATATTGTGAATTAGATTAGTCCATTTTAGACCCCCAAACATACACGTACAAATGCACTTACATAATTGGTCGCATTGAGAGCTGATCGTAAACCGGGGGTCCACTGTATATACAGTGGACCCTCGACTAACGCTATTAATCTGTTCCTGAGAGCTCATCGTTAGTCAAAATTATCGTTAGTCAAGTTAATTTTCCCCATAAGAAATATTGGAAATCAAATTAATCCGTGTAGGACACCCCAAAGTATGAAAAAAAAATTGTTTTTACCACATGAAATATTAATTTTAATACACACAAACTGAAGAAGACATGCACAATTACATGACACTTACCTTTATTGAAGATCTGGTGATGATTGTTGGGATGGGAGGAGGGGAGAGTGTTGATGGTCTTAGTGTTTAGAAGGGGAATCCCTTTCCATTAGGACTTGAGGTGGCAAGTCCTTTTCCGGGGTTACTTCCCTTCCCTTTAAATCTCTCAAACCAACCTTTGCTGGCCTTAAATTCACTCACATCACCACTAGTTGCTGGCATTTTTTTCATTAAATCGTCATGCAACTTCCTAGCCTTTTCACATATGATCGCTTGAGAGATACTATCTCCTGCTATCTGTTTTTCATTTATCCACACCAATAACAGTCTCTCAGCATCTTCGAGTACTTGCGATCTCAGTTTCGAAAACATAGTTGCACCTTTGGCAAGAACAGCTTCCTTGATTGCCGTTTTCTTGGCCACAATAGTAGCGATGGTTGATTGGGGTTTTGTGTACAACCTGGCCAGCTCGGAGACATGCACTCCACTTTCATACTTAGCAATTATCTCTTTCTTCACATCCATAGTAATTCTCACCCTTTTTGCTGTAGGGTTGGCACTAGAAGATTTCTTGGGGCCCATGGTGACTTATTTTGCAGGTGCAATCACTAAAAAGGCTGTGATAACATGAAATATTCCGATTGTATGCTTGGAAGCGACCGCGATGGCTGGCTGGCTTTTAAACACTGGCCAGAAGTGGAGGCGTCTGACTGAACAAATAGTGTTGGTCGAGTTTTTTAGCACTAGTCGAGGCAAAAATTTTGCGTTAAAATGTATCACTAGTAGGATTTATCGTTGATCGATGCCATCATTGGTCGAGGGTCCACTGTACATATAAAGATACACAACATATCCCTCCAAACTGCCAATATCCCAGACCCCTCCTTTAAAGTGCAGGCATTGTACTTCCCATTTCCAGGACTCGAGTCCGGCTATATAAAAATAACCAGTTTCCCTGAATCCCTTCACTAAATATTACCCTGCTCACACTCCAACAGCTCGTCAGGTCCCAAATACCATTTGACTCCATTCACTCCTATCTAACACGCTCACGCACGCTTGCTGGAAGTCTAAGCCCCTCGTCCACAAAACCACCTTTGCCCCCTCCCTCCAACCTTTTCGAGGATGACCCCTACCCCGCCTTCCTTCCCCTACAGATTTATACGTTCTCCATGTCATTCTACTTTGATCCATTCTCTCTACATGACCAAACCACCTCGACAACCCCTCTTCCCCCCATGACTAATATTTTTATTAACCCCCAAATTTTCTCTAATTTCCCACACTAAAATTTTTTTGCTTTAATTTTTAACACCCCCATTGCCCCTTAGACAGGACATTTTCCACTCCCCTCCAACCACCTCCTAAATGCGCTTTTAAAACCCAAACTTCGCACCCATAAAAGAGTGTTTGGTATTGGTAAACTTTCATACTTTTCCCTTTTTCCCCTCCTAGAAAAACATTTTTTTTTCTCCACTTTCCCTAAACGCACCCTGCCTTTTTTCCTCCATAAATTTTCTGAAAAAACCTTTCTTTCCTTTTCATAAACCTTTCCGTTTCCCATGTCAATAAAAAAATATCTAAAAAAACATTCATTTTTCCCTTTACCCCTCCCCCCCAAATTTTGATACCCAAATTTTTTCCCTTTTTTCTAAATCTTTTGATCCCCTCATCCCCTTTACTTTTTTCGGGTTGGCCCACTTTCAACTTTCTATTTACAACACACCCCCAAAACTATAAAAAAACCCTTTTGCTTTTTTTTTTGAATCCCCCATAAACACCTTTATCATCAGAAAAAAGAAATTTCTGTAAAACTCCCTTTTTGCATTTGATTCCCCATAATTTAATCTTACCCTTTCCCAAACACCTAGAAATTTCCCCCCCTTTTACAACCCCATCTAAAAAAATATATTAAACAACCTTTTGGGGTTAAGCATTACACATCCCTTTTCAAAAGGCCCTATTTTTTTCCCGGGAAAAAGTAGTCCCCCTCTCTTCTAAACCCCCTAACTGATAGGTATTTTGAAGAAATTTTTTTTTTATTAACACATGGGCTGGTTTTCCCCCCAAGGGTAAAGGAGGGTTTTTTGTGCGAGGGGTTTGGGCTTCCCGCCGGGGATGCGTGAGCGTGTTTGTGGAGTGAATGGGGGGACAAAAAAGGTTTTTAATTTCTTGAAGTGCGGGTTTGGGGTGTTTACAAAGTAACATTTATGAAGGGGGTTCAAGGGGAAACCCCGGGAGGCCGGAAATTGAGCCCGGAGATGGGGGGAAATACAGTGCCTGCACTTTTGGGAGGGGGGTTAATGTTGCAGTTTAAAAACCCGTAGGGTTTTAAAACCCCTTTGGGAAAGACAGTGATGGAGTGAATGATGGTTTGAAAATTTTTTTTTTCGGGGGCCAAACCCCGCCCTTTTTGGGAAAACGGCCCGGGGTGTAATAAAAAAAAAAAAAAATTGCTCCATCACTGTTTTGCCAGAGGTATGCTTACACTACAGTTATAAAACTGCAACATTAACACCCCTCCTTCAGAGTGCCGGCGGTGTACTTCCCATCTCCAGGAATCAAGTCCGGCCTGCTTGTTTTCCTGAATCCCTTCATAAATGTTACCTTGCCTACACTCCAACAGCATGTCAAGTCCTAAAAACCATTTGTCTCCATCTAACACGCTCATGCACACTTGCTGGAATTCCAAGCGCCCCCCCCACACACAAAACCTTCTTTACCTCGTCCCTACAACCTTGCCTAGGCTGACCCCTACCCCGCCTTCCCTCCACTACAGATTTATACACTCGAAGTCATTCTGTTTCGTTCCACCCTCTCTACATGTCTAAACCATTGCAATAACCCCTCCTCAGCCCTCTGGATAATAATTTTGGCAATCCCACACCTCTTCCTAATCTCCAAATTGCGGATTCTCTGCATTATATTCACAACACACATTGCCCTCAGACATGACATCTCCACTGCCTCCAGCCTTCTCCTTGTTGCAACATTCACCACCCATGCTTCACACCCATACAAGAGTGTTGCTATAACTACTCTCTCATATATTTCACTCTTTGCTTTCATGGATAAAGTTCTTTCTCTCCTCAGTACAGTACAGTATATGCTAAATACAGTTGATTTTAAATAGATATGAAGACTTTCATTTGTTATTGTACTATACAACAAATATTTTAACCCTTCATGGGGATACCATGATGAGCTAAAGAATTGGGAGTTTCACAGTTTCTCTTTGCTGATGACACTGTGCTTTTTGGGGGATTCTGAAGAGAAGTTGAAGAGGCTGGTAGATGAATCTGGTAGAGTATGTAAAAGAAGGAAATTAAAAGTGAACATAGGAAAGAGTAAGGTGATGAGATAACAAAAAATTTAGGTAATGAAAGATTGGAGGGGGAGAGAGTCTGGAGGAAGTGAATGTATTCAGATGTGGGAGTGGACTTGTCTGCAGATGGGTCTATGAAAGACGAGGTGAATCATAGAATTGATGAAGGGAAAAAGGTGAGTGGTTCACTGAGGAGTCTGTGGAGACAAAGGATGTTATCCATGGAAGGAAAAAGGGGAATATTATATCATTGTGAAGCATGGGTGGTGAATGTTGCAACAAGGAGAAGGCTGGAGGCAGTGGAGATGTCGTGTCTGAGGGCAATGTGTGGTGTGAATATAATGCAGAGAATTTGTAGTTTGGAAATTAGGAGATGTGGGGCTACTAGTGGAAGGAATGCAGGGTAGGGGTTGGCCTAGGAAAGGTTGGAGGGAGGTGGTAAAGGTGGTTTTGTGTGCAAAGGGCTTTGACTTCCAGTAAACATGCGTGAGCATGTTAGATAGGAGCGAGTGGAGACAAGTAGGTGTTAGGACCTGACGTACAGTGCCTGCGTTCTGAAGGATGGGATGTTGATAAGTTGTGGTTTTATAACTGCAGTGTAAGCATGCCTCTAGCAAGAGAGTGATGGAGTGAATGATAATGAAAGTATTTCTTCTTTTCTGGGTCACCCTGCCTTGGTAGGAAATGGCTGATGTGTTAATAATAAGAAAAAAAAATCTTGCTAGGATCAAACCTGAATTCCTCCCACATTTTTATGAATGTTGCGGTAAGGAGAAGGTTGGAGGCAGTAGAGATGTGTTTGAGGACAATGTGTGGTGTGGATACTGTCTTCTCACATGTGTACACAAGCCTGCTGGATGTCAGCCCAACTCAGCCTGATGATACCCCCTCCCTCCAATTGTTCCTGGGATGACCCACCCTAAGTTTGTATATCCTCTCCATCCTCTCTGCCTGCCCACACCTCGGTACCCTCTCCTCAACCCCTCTGGATTATAATTGCCTTTTAATTTATACACACTGAATTCTCTGCATATGTATACGTACTGTATCTTGTCAATTTATGCATATATTGTTGCTAATAAATCTATATTAATTGAACTTCATCTTTTATGTGTTTTGTTTATTTATGACTAGTCTAGCATGGATATTAGCACGTTTAATTTTTTATATTTTTTGTAATGTTTTAGTCACAACTCTTGTGAATTATTATAATTATTGTTTCTAATTTAGACACGAAGCTTCCTCTCCGAGGTGTTATGGAGCAGTTCTGGCTATTAAGGGTGGAGTACAACTTATGTTACTTGGGTTTAGTGTTTATATGGTGTGGGAGCAGAGTAATATTTTGTGAAGGGATTCAGGGAAATCGGTTAGCTGGACTTGAGTCCTGGAGGTGGGAAGTACAATGCCTGCACTTTAAAGGAGGGGTTTGGGATATTGACAGTTTGGAGGGACATCTGAATTGTTGTATCTGAGTGCCTCTGCATAGACAGTGATTATGTATAAGTGATGGTGAAAGTGTTGAATGATGAAAGTTTTTTCTTTCTTTTTGGGTCATTCTGCCTTGGTGGGAGACTGCCAACGTGTTAAAAAAAAAAATATATATATATAGCAGTTATAAGTACAGTACATCCTCTCCTCACTTAACAACGGAGTTCCATTCCTAAGACCACATAGGTAAACAAACTTGTTGCTAAGTGAGGAGCATACTATAATGGTAGTGGGTTTGTGTCGACCATCTTTGATATTGTTTTAATGTCACTTTTGCACCATTTATAACAGTTCTGGTATATTTTTAAATGTTTATACAGTAGTGTACTGTACATTGTAATTAACAGAATAGAGGGAATCAGCTCTAATATACATTATTTAGCTTTGCATATTGGTCAGAGAGCCCATCATAAGTCTGAGTCGTCGGTAAACAAGTATGAACGTCGCTAAGTGAAGAGAGGCTGTACTACATGTACAGTGGACCCCCGCATAACGATTACCTCCGAATGCGACCAATTATGTTAGTGTATTTATGTAAGTGCGTTTGTACGTGTATGTTTGGGGGTCTGAAATGGACTAATCTACTTCACAATATTCCTTATGGGAATAAATTCGGTCAGTACTGGCACCTGAACATGCTTATGGAGTGAAAAAATATCGTTAACCGGGGGTCCACTGTATTTTGTATGTAAATTTTTGTATCGGTTCATGATACAAATGTCAAATCAGCCAGTTTGTGATGGTTTTGTTGGCTGGTGGGTTGCTAGCAGTAACATGCTGGTTGTTTTGGCAGTCAACAAATTAGTCTGGTCTCAGGACAGGCTTAGAGTAGAACTGGTCAGGTAATTTAATGTTAACAGTAATATACAGTAGTACCTCGGTACTCGAACAGCTCCCAACGTGAACAGTTCAGTATTCAAACACTGTTAGGTACAAAAAGTCGCCCAGTAGTCCACCGTTTGCTCAGCACTCGACCAAACAAACACCACCTGCCAGAACTTTGCTGTAAACTGTTTTGTGTTTCTTTGCATTTTTTGGTGTTTTTAATATTATTTGTATAAATAAGTATAAATAAGGAGGGGTGTTAATGTTGCAGTTTAAAAACTGTAGTGTAAAGCACCCTTCTGGCAAGACAGTGATGGAGTGAATGATGGTGAAAGTTTTTCTTTTTCGGGCCACCCTGCCTTGGTGGGAATCGGCCAGTGTGATAATAAAAAAATAATAAATAAAGTCACCATGGGGCCTAAGAAGATTAGTGATAACAGCCAACCATAATGAATAATTTACATTATTCCTTATGGGAAAAATTCGTTCAATACTCGAACAGATTGACACTCAAACAGCCTTCTGGAACAAATTAAGTTTGGGTACCGAGGTACTACTGTACTGAAGTAAGTTTTTGTTGTTTTTACTGTTTTTTTATAATTCCTATCTGTATTACATGGCTTCACATTATCAGAAACGTCTTGTTGTCGTGAGAGACCCCGATGGAACACTTCGTCAAGCATCATGGGAAGAGGCAGAAAGGATGAACCAGATATACAACCCACGCCCTGGTCGCAAGTTGAAGCCACCGAAACTCTTCCAGGAAGAACATCTTACGGTACATTAATAGAAAGATTTTGTTTATCGGGAGAGATACAAGAAAATTTCTGTTGATGCTGTTCTCTGTCATGTGATGACTCGGTAGAGTTTTTGGTCATGTGAATGAGGCTTACCCTGGTGTCCCATTCTCTTGATGTGGATGTTTGTCATGTGATGACCCACTCTCTCGAGTAACAGTGGTCTTGTTCTAGCTTACTGCTTCATACTATAAACATTTAAATGTCAAATTATGATACATTTATGATATATGACATTGTATAATACATTCATAGGGGGGTATAGGCATAATGTTGATGAATGGCTCTTGATACAAGAAATAGGAACTATTCTTCGATTCTTTAGATCAAGCCTGATTACCTCCCATTTCCCAGGTGCTGTATGGGTTTAGCATTGTCTTGTAATAATAATAAATTTTTTTTTTATTTTTAACACTGGCCGTCTCCCACTGAGGTAAGGAAACTCGAAAGAGAAGAAACTCTTTCACCATCATTCATACTTACCACTGTCTTGCCAGAGGTATGTTCCTTCAAACTGTAAATATCCCCACCCCTCCTTTAGAGTGTAGACACTGTACTTCCCACCTCCAGGACTCAAGTCTGGCTAACCAGTTTCCCGGAATCCCTTCACAAATGTTACTTTGCTCACACTCCAACAGCTCATCAAGTCCCAAAAAACATTCGCCTCCACTCTCTCCCGTCTAAAATGCTCACACACACCTTCTGGATATCCAAGCCCCTCGCACACAAATTTTTCTCTATCCCCTCCCCCCTAACATTTCCTAGGATGGCCCCTATCCCACCTTTCCTCCACTACAGATTTATACACCCTCTAGGTCATCCTATTTTGCTCCATCCTCTCTAAATATTCAAACCATCTCGACAACCCCTCCTCAGCCCTCTGGATAATACTTTTAGTAACCCTTTACCTCCTAATCTCCAAGCTACCAATTCTCAGCATATTTACACAACACATTGCCCTAAGACACAATAATTCGGTAAGCCATGCATGTTGTAAGAGGCAACTAAAATGCCGGAGCAAAGGGCTAGTAACCCCTTTTGTATATGTTACTAAATCTAAAAAGAGACACTTTGGTTTTTCTTTTTTGGGCCACCCTGCTTTTGTGGGATACAGCCAGTGCATTGAAAGAAGAATAATAATAATTTGGGGAGGGATTCAGGGAAATTGGTTTGTTTGACTTGAGTCCTGAAAGTGAGAAGTACAGTGCCTACACTGAAGGAAGAGTGGAGATATTTGCAGTTTGGAGGTGCATCTGTACTGTAAGGTCAGCATACCCTTGGCAAGACAGTGATAGAGTGAATGATGGTGAAAGTATTTCTCTTTTGAGTCATCCTACCTTGGTGGGAGACAGCCAGTGTGTTACAAACTGATTATAGTAATAATAATAATAATCAAGGGGTGTGGACATCCAACAGGCATGTGTTGGAGTGTGAGCAAGGTAATACAGTGGACCCCCGGTTAATGATATTTTTTCATTCCAGAAGTATGTTCAGGTGCCAGTACTGACCGAATTTGTTCCCATAAGGAATATTGTGAAATAGATTAGTCCATTTCAGACCCCCAAACATACACGTACAAACGCACTTACATAATTGGTCGCATTGGGAGGTGATCGTTAAGCGGAGGTCCACTGTATTTATGATGGGATTTAGGGAAACCGAATCTCCATCTCCAGGACTTAAAATGTGATTAACCATATTTAAGTCCTGGAGACAGAACATACAGTACCTGCACTCTGAAAGAAGTATATATCTTATTCTTGCAATATTTCCTTTCCAGTTAAGGAGGCTCAGTATGAGATAGGCTGTAGGGGCAGTGAACTTTGGAACCATTAACTTGAAAAAATGAATTATATTTGTAAAAGAGTATGCTAAGAGAGAGAAGAGTTCAAGTTTGAGTTCAATTTCCAACAGAATGTGCTAGAGAGAGGAGAGTACGAGTTTGTGTTGGACTCTGCCTGCGCACAGTTTGAACCAGATGACCCAGAATACCTTCGCATTACCAGTGTGGTGTACGAGTCAGTCGATAAAAAGCGTTGCTACCAGCTGTTGCATTCTACCCGTCACTATGGCCCGCTGTGTTTTTATCTAACGTGGAATAAAAAGATTGAAAACTTGTTAATCAGTCTCGTACAACAAGAAAAGTAAGCTTTTGTTTTTTTTCATATAACAAGATTTTATTTTCCAGATTTGGTCATCTTTTTTATAATTTAGGGAGGGAAAGACTTATATTTGATAGTTTATTTGTTTTATTTATTTAGGGATAACTTAAATCAGATGGTTTTTCATTACGGTAAATTGCAGTACGTATATATATTTTCTGAGTAAATTTTGTGCACTTCCCTGATCTCCCAGGCAGGAGATGAGTGTGACCACCTGGTGTAGTGGGTGACACTGACAGGGGATATAAGTGGCCACCTGGTGTGGTGGGCGACACACTGACGGGGGATAAAGTGTCCACCTGGTGTGGTGGGTGACACACTGATGGGGGATAGTGTCCACCTGGTGTGGTGGGTGACACACTGATGGGGGATAGTGTCCACCTGGTGTGGTGGGTGACACACTGATGGGGTGAAGGGTGCACCTGGTGTGGTGGGTGACACACTGACAGGGGGTAAAGGGTGCACCTGGTGTGGTGGGTGACACACTGGCAGGGGGTGAAGGGTGCACCTGGTGTGGTGGGTGACACACTGACAGGGGGTGAAGGGTGCACCTGGTGTGGTGGGTGACACACTGACGGGGTGAAGGGTGCACCTGGTGTGGTGGGCGACACACTGACGGGGGATAAAGTGTCCACCTAGTGTGGTGGGTGACACACTGACGGGGTGAAGGGTGCACCTGGTGTGGTGGGTGACACACTGACTTATAATGATCTAATTTCATCTCCAATTAGTGTGTTAGTTGTGTATTGTTCCAGCTAATATAGTGCAATGTCAAGTAAGTTTGACCAAAGGGACACAAATATACATGTAGTCACTTAAAACATACATGTTTGAAGGGATCGAAGTTCAAGGACTGAAACATCTTCAGTAAAGGTATTCTAAGTGAATGTATTAGTGGTAATTTCCCCCCCTCAAATGATGGGCAATTATTAATCTTCTGACTATAAGTAATTTTGATCTACAGGCTGGAAGCATGTGCAGACATAGTGCGACTGTATCAGCTTATCCACACCGATTGCAAGTCAAAAATGATAAACGTGGATCCCAATCAGCACTTGGAGTTGCTTAAGGTGTGTTCGGTTATTTGTGCTGTATTGATGTACAGTTTTGTTTTGTTTTTCTGCCAGAGACTTTTAGCTATTACAATAAGAATACAAGAAAGGAGCACTGTAGCAGGCCTACTAGCCCATGCTAGGCAGGTCCAAATCACACTCACTTAAGAAATGAGCACTGCTGCAGGTCTTCTGGCTCAAACTAAGCAAGTCCAGCTCACATCAACCCCCACACACTTGTGTACTTGTCTAACCTATTTTACAAGCTACACACAGGGATTTCGCCTCGCTGACTTTACCCGGGAATTTGTTCCATTTGTATATTGTTAGTGTAAAACCAAGCAAAGTTTGATGGGAGTGCTTTGATGCTCTGAAGAAATAGGAACAAACTTTCCCTTTCCCAGGTTCTGTATGACCCACATGGGGTTATTGCTTCCCCATGAATCAAATAAAAATTTTAAAGATTCTGACAAGATGCAAAGGTTGGTGGATGAATTTGGAGGTTATGTAAAAGAAAGAAATTAAAAGTGAACATAGGAGAGAGCAAGATGATGAAGTAATTTAAAAGTCTTAGGCAATAAGGTTGAAAATCAGATTTGAGGGAGAAGAGTATAAGAGGAATTAGATAATCAGCAGATGGGTCCATGAAAGATGAGAGGGAAAAGGGGTGGTAGAAAGAAATTTATCTATGGATGAAAATAAGTGAATGCACCAGAGTACAGTGGTAACACTAGTATAGGTGTGAGGCATGGGCTTTGAATGTTACAGCAAAGAGAAAACTGGAGATGTGTTTGAGCATAATGTGTGGTGTGAATTTGGAGAGGATTCAGAGTATATATGGAAGGGTTGTTGAGGTGGAGAAGGATAGGATGATAAAGATAGTGTATGAATCTGGGGTAGAAGGCATGATAGGTAGGGGTCATCCCAGGAACAGTTAGATGGAGGGGTAAAGGAGAATTATTATTAATGAATTAAGTGCTAAACCCAGAAAGGTCACAGCTCTGCAGGAAGGCAAGGTGTGCAAAGTTACAGGTTAGTTCAAGCAAAATTGAAATCAGAGTTGGTGTAATAGATTAGTTTTAGTTAATAAGTCAAAGAGAGAGAGTGCATCAAAGGTGGGAGTTTCAGTAAGAGTTTGTTGGAGTGATTTAGACATTGAAAGTGGGTCCTGTGTGCATTCTGATAGACAGGACAATCTATTAATAAATGTTGGATAATGTAACCTAACAGTCCTCCCAGACTGGTGCCAGTTGTTTCTTCATGTGATATCCATGAGTCATGTGTGTGAGAGGTGGTCTCTAAAACCCAACAATGGTGGAAAGATGGTCAAAATGTGGTTTGATAGAAAACAATTTGTTGCTGGCCAAAATGGACCAGCATTGTTGCCAGCAGTTGCGGAGGTGGTGAGAGAGTAGTGAAAAATAATCTGGGTAAGGGAAACCTCTGGGGGTAACAAGAGGCTTTGAGTTTTAGGGGCTTGAGCATTCAACAGGCTTGTGTGACTGTCAAATAGTGAATGGATTCATGTGGTTTTTAATGAATGTGCTGTTGGAACTTGAGCAAGATAACTTATATGAAGGGATTCCAGGAAACTGGTTAGCCAGACTTGAGTCTTGGAGATAGTCAGGTGTGAGTATGTTGCTGTCAAAGGATAATCTGAATTGTGATATCAGCACACTTCTGGCAAGACAAGATTGTTCAGAGGGGGGGGGGGATGATGAGGTTTTTGATGCTGATGAATGGCTCTTAATCTTAGGAATTGGAGCTACCCTCCTCTTCCTCAGAGTGAACCCGACACCTCCAATTCCCCAGATAGACTATAAAATAATAATAGTGGCTTTATTTGTCCTTAACAATATTTTATTACATGCAAACTACACAAAGAAATACAATTTTTATTTGATCTGATAATAATACATTCAGACTTCCCACTTTGACAATTTTCTTCTTATTCTTTCTAGTAATTATTACAGGAAAAGGGGTTACTAGCCCATTGTTCCCGGCATTTTAGTTGACTTTTACAACGCGCATGGCTCACGGAGGAAAGATTCTTATTCCACTTCCCCTTGGATATATAAAAGATGAGGTTAATCATAGAATTGATGAGGGAAAAAAGGCGAATGGTGCATTGAGGTATATGTGGAGACAAAAAACATTATCTATGGAGGCAAAGAAGGGAATGTATGAAAGTACAGTAGTACCAACACACTTACATGAAAATTTAGACACATGTGCAACATCTGGACATTTTTATTGTAGACATTTCGCCATCCAGTGGCTTTATCAATACAGATTCTAGGACATAATTAAGGACAGTAGAACTATATACAAAAGATGAGGTAATCAGTCCCTCAGCCTTGGAGTTAGTGTTCACAGTATCGTGGTGGAGGAGAATCTGGAGCAAAGGCAAGAAGACTGGCGGTTATATAGGCGTCAGTGGATCAGGACATGTAGCAGACGAGGGCATAGTCACTGGTAGGCGTGATTCCCCAGTGGAAGTAGGTCCTTCCCAAAGAGATGGGTTAGTTGCAGCAGCCGTGAAGAAGGTCTTGTAGATGTCCTCTGAACCAAGACACCATGATGTTGCAGTGTCTGACAAGTTGTGCAAGAAATGTATAAAATACCGACAATATGAAAGTTAAGACACATGTGCAACATCTGGGTATCTTTATTGTAGACGTTTCGCCATCCAGTGGCTTTATCAATACAGATTCTAGGATGCCTATATAACCGCCAGTCTTCTTGCCTTCGCTCCAGATTCTCCTCCACCACGATGCTGTGAACACCAACTCCAAGGTTGAGGGACTGATTGCCTCATCTTTTGTATATAGTTCTACTGTCTTCTAATTATGTCCTAGAATCTGTATTGATAAAGCCACTGGATGGCGAAACGTCTATAATAAAGATATCCAGATGTTGCACATGTGTCTAAACTTTCATATTGTCGGTATTTTATACATTTCTTGCACAACTCTTATATGGGTGTGAAGCTTGGGTTGTGTATGCAGCAGCGAGGAGGCAGTGGAGATGTCCTGTCTAAGGGCAATGTGTGGTGTAAATATGCAGAAAATTCATAGTGTGGAAATTAGGAGAAGGTGTGGAGTTAATAAGTATTAGTCAGAGGGCTGAAGAGGGGTTGTTGAGGTGGTTTGGTCATTTAGAGAGAATGGATCAAAGTAGAATGACATGGAGAGCATATAAATCTGTAGGGGAAGGAAGGTGGGGTAGGGGTCATCCTTGAAAAGGTTGGAAGGAAGGGGTAAGGGAGGTTTTGTGGGCGAGGGACTTCCAGCATTCATGCACGAGCGTGTTCGATAGGAATGAATAGTATTTGGGACCTGGTGATCTATTGGAGTGTGAGCAGGGTAATATTTACTGAAGGGATTCAGGGAAACCGGTTATTTTTATATAGCCGGACTTGAGTCCTGGAAATGGGAAGTACAATGCCTGCACTCTAAAGGAGGGGTTTGAGATATTAGCAGTTTGGAGGGATATGTTGTGTATCTTTATAGGTATATGCTTCTAAACTATTGTGTTCTGAGCACCTGTGCAAAAACAGTGATTATATGTGAGTGTTGAATAATGATGAAAGTATTTTCTTTCTTGTTGGGTCACCCTGCCTCGGTGGGAGACGGCTGACTTGTTAAAAAAATAAAAAATATAGTACACTTCAGTTTAATTGAATGATATGTATATAATTTTACAGGCATACGTGGAGCATGACTCTCTTCAGCAGCAACAATTACAACTGGCCATACAAGCCTACCAGGAAATCGTTCGTGAGCGTCAGCAGTACAATGAGAATGTCAAGACCGCTCATGGCTTGTAGGTACGAACTGCACTACTCGATAACACACACGGGTTTAATGTTCTCTTGTAAATATAGTAATCTAAGAAGCTGTGACATATTGAAGTTGTTTCTGCTGGGTTAAAATTCAGGGTTTTCTTGTCAAATTGTAATACTCTGAATACACTTATAAATCATTGAAGAAAAGCTAGTTAAATAAATACTGAAAAATGTCATCACTACTACCGTATATTATTTAACCTAATGTTAGAAGTTGTGAATAATTGTGGTCACAGTAGTGTAGTTGCAACAGTCGTAGTCACAATACTGTGGCTGCATTTTATTATAATCAAGGGGGAAGCGCTAAACCCGGAGGATTATACAGCGCCTGGGATGGGGGGGGGAGAATGTGGAAGATATTCAGGGAACTGGAGCACAGATCCAATTCCCTAAATCAAGAGCCCCTCACCAACATCAAGGAACCTTCCTTGAGAGGACTGTGGCTGCAACAGTACCACAAGTAACACAAAAAATGGGGATAAATATTTCAATTCTGGGTTGGTCCTGGACCATTATTAACTTAAGAGAGGGAGGAAGACTGACGTAAGATCAGGTATTCTCACCTCTCGCTCTTGCCTTTTCCTCAGGACTGACCAAAATATTTATCTCCAATTCATGCACTGAATGAAGAATAATGTCCACTACTTGTGGACATTATGGACTGGGACCAGGTCCTGTCCCACCTCCAGCACTGCTGCCATGCAGCAAAAGCTGCATATTCAAGAGATATAGTTATTTTACTGTTCAACTATTAAGGGACTAACAACTTCACCAATGCTCCCATGTAAGATAAAATAATTATGAGTCACCCTCCGCCTCGGTGGAGGATGATCTCTATGTTGAAAAAAGAAATTTGTTTTGAAAGAAAAGTCAAGTTCATTATTAGTCTGCAAGTTTTACTACCCAATATGACCTACTTAGGTATTGAGCTGAAGGATAAAAACTTCCTAGTGGCCTTGCAGTAGTCAAAAATGAACTTCTTGGATGGGAAAATCAGTTTAAATCATTTATAAATTTATCTTTGACCAAAAATTATGCACTATAAACTTAATTTTGTGGTGTCCATTTCATATTTCTGAAAATTCTGTAAAAATATTTCCATGGTGGCATTCATCAGCACCACCAGAGATATTAAATCTAGTTGAAAAAAACTTTGTAATTAAGTTCATCAAGGACTTTTATCAAATATTATTTAGCTTCATATTGGTCCAGAATTGAGTGAAAATCTTTTCTTTCATCTTCAGTTTAGGTTTCATTACTTAATTTGTAATTATACTGATAATGGTCATTATCTTGATGACCGGTTTGTACACTTGGCACTAAGTAGATACCTGGACGTTATCATTAAACTTGTTCACGTGGCTGTTAGACTGTTGTGGATGGGATCCTAGAAAATAAGTCAATTAAGCCACATTGCTTGGATTACTAACCCTATGGTGTTGTAATCCAAATAGTCTTCTTTTATATCTAATGTTATTCACATTGTCTTCATAACTTAAGTGGTGTATATTCATGGTCATGTACCCAGGACATTTTTGATGCTGGCTGCACCAGTTCAAAGTAGACACAACAGCCCAGATGATCATTAAGTAGCTAAAGAAATTTGATTGTTTAACATTTCTTTGTCAGGATAATTAAATATTAACCATTTAGAATTCTTTTTATTGTCTTTTGTGTGCACCATTTATAAGTCACCAGGCTGTCAAGATTTGGTGTCAGCACAAAGCAAGGTAGTCACAAAAACAAAGAAACACTGCTGATTTAGTATTAAATCTTTCATTTAAGTGACAACAAAAGCTTGGGGATATTACGCTATCACTTTATTACACGTGGAATGTATTTTAGTAATTACACTACAGCATCTCGCTTGTAATCATTTTTCCTGTCTTAGGAAGACTGGACTTGAAGTCAAAAATTAAGCCACAGAATAAAAAAAAAAAAAAAAGTCATACTGAAGGATTCTTGTGGTACTAATATATACAACACTTGCACAGAAATAAAGGTTTTCAGCAAAACTAAGTATAGTCTAATGCAATGGATGGAATAAATTATATAGGTTAACATGACAATGTATCACAGGTTCTGTGAAAATCAGATGTCAAAACATCATTCCATAAAATAGAAATGTATATATTTTCTGGAATATTGTGTTGATACCATAAAATAATTCCCACTAGTCACCAGTTTTTCTATCACCATTAAACTAATGTGATAATCACATTTTCAGTCCCACTTTTAACATGAAATTTGGGAATGCACTGAAGAAAATGTCATTAAATTATACATTAATAATCATATGTACTGAGGTGAGATTAAAAAAAAATTAACATCTCCATAACAGTTTATCAGAGACAGTCCAGGCATAACTTAGTTTCTTGAACATATGATCTAATAAATATATTCACAAAACTAATTATAAGAAAAACGAGTAAAATTATATTAACAGTATATATACACACAAACCATTGTGAAAACAAAATTTATGGACTTTACATAAATATTTGTCGGTACAAATGTGGAAAGACTCCGACCTTTATTCTGGACCATTTCATCTAATTTATTAATCAACGTTGCAGAAGCATTAATACATAACATTGTTTTGCAAATTAAACTGTTAGCACATTAATATTATACAGTTGACATGTGTTGATAGTTTTTTAACCATGAAGAGAATTGAGGTGCACAGAAGAATGTATGGGGACTCTAAACCTGGTTCATACATGTAGCCGGCCAACCACTCAGTCACAGCTGCCAAGTGGTTACACCATCGAGACTGCTATATGTACTGACTAGTTTGAGCCCCTCTCCATTCTGATTTTTTCTCTCTATATAAAGTATTATCACATCGTGCTAAAACTCAATCTAAAGCAATACATCATAATAAAAGTGTCCTCTGCTCCTTTGTCTTTTCTTTATTACTGTTGCCAAGTGTTAGTATAGTAAACTCTATCACAACAAGAAATGTGATAGAAAAAATGCAACCAAAATTTTGTACCTCACTAAAAATCTTGATATTACATTCTGTAAAATGGAAATCAGGTTACATGCAAATTTGAATACTATGCACTGGAATTTTTTACATGTTTTGAGCCACTGTTTATCAAAAGATTTCTTCTTCGCTTCTTTTTTATTATAATTATCAAAAGATTTTATTTTCATCTCAGCATCACTAACATGGCATGTTAGCAATGCTAGAGGTGAATGTCTGACAGTATTGAAGAAAGTGGAAATTTTAGATATGCTTTAAGCTGGTGATGCATACTGCTGACACTTTTATTCTGAGAAAATCAACTATTTGTACAATTAGAGACAATAAAAACTTGTGGTTTGCTGGGAAGAATAACACAACTAAGTACCACATGTTACTGAACGTGTCAATTAAATACAAAGACCTCATTAAGTCGTGAATAATAAGGCACAAAGCCCTGTGTGAGAGAAGGAAGAATCTTAGCAACAGTGTAGGATGATTTGAAAAATTTTTTCAAACCCCATTCAGCTTAATAACCTTAAGTTTAGTTAAACTGTAATAACTTTTACTTAGATTGATATTTGGAGGTGTCTAGAATATAATATTATTTTTGTATGTGATCTACAATTTACACAATGCTATATATTTCTGAAGGTGCAAATTTTCAAGAACATAACCCATGTGTTATGAGAGAGTTTACTACATATCATTTTCAAAGCTCATAAATTATATCTTGTGTGAGCACATTTTCAACATGTGCACGTCACTTGGGCTTAAAAATTCACTTCAGACTTACACGACTTAATATTAGGATTACATTTAGCACCACTAAAATTCTTGGTTCACTGTGTTATCAGTGACCAGGATAATTGTCTGGACTGACTGATTGTTGCAGTGTCTTCAGGTTGCATCAGCTCATACATTATTGCAAAAAAATATATCTCAGACACAGGTGCAATGTACAAGAAATTTATTTGCCTTCAAATTTACAATAGAATTAGAGTTCAATAATTAATATCCTATAAGAATATACTAAAAGTGCTAAACACAAAACTTATTCCATTCAAGCGCTTTGCACAGAAGTGCTGTATTCCAACGAGAGATTCAAAAGTACTGATTCTTTATGAAATATACTAGTACGTATGACTGCTCACATGTAAAAATGGTCTACTTTATAAATGAGATTTCTATCATGGAAAATATTTTCCCTGAATTAAAGAGGTACAACTCCATAGCGCACACATCACATGATCAGGCAAAAAGCTTTTGGACACGAGATATACAAATAAATTCTACTTAAAATTCCACAATACAGTAGTAAATTATTCAATAGAGTATTTATATAAAACTATTTCACTTCTGTTATTTGGGTCCCTTGTAACTGAACATAAATCTCTTATTATCCCAGATAATATAATTTCATATTTTTTTTTTTCACATTTCAAAACGTGAATTATAAAGTTTACTTGTCACAAATTTCAATACCTGAGTTCTTGGCTACTCAAGCTCTGACCTGACCTGGGAAACTTCCTCAGTGCAAGAATAATGCTTGCAGCATTTATAAATTATAAAAACTCCATATAATACTACTGTACTGCAGTAATAAAGCAACATTACAGGAGGTCCACAATATACAAATGAGTTTCAGTCCTGTTTTTCAACTTACAAACAAGTTGTTTGTACTGTATGTGAGGTTCAAGACCTGTGTGTGCCATCCAGTGCAAAGAATGGTTCATACTGCAGCTCAATGCTTGTAACTTGAGGGACCACCTGTATTAAATACATAGCCAAAACAATGATCTTACAGTAAGAAAATACATGTTTGTAGATGAATGGTTCAGAGAACCAACATGTTGATAAATTACACATGTGCAACTCTTGATGGACTGAACACATCGACTCAAGGTTGAGGGACTGATTACCTCAAGTTTCTCCTACATATGGACTGATGAAGCCACTGTGTGGCGAAACGTTTCCTCAATAAAGATACCCAAGAGTTGCACATGTGTCTAATTTATCAAGAAAATACATATTATTTGCAATAATAATTAGTTGACATTCTCAATGTAAATCAACACAGAGGTAAGTGATTCCTGTTAATATATAATGGAGCCTCTACTGTTTGCACATGTATACAGATTTACGAGAAATTAAATGTTACATTCAACTTAAAAACAGTACTATAGTACAAAGGATGGTTATTTATAATATAAATTTATTCAGATGTATAGATCTTTAGAGCATTTGTAACCTATATTCAAGTACAGTAGCCACAATATAGAGGTGGTAATGGCAGACAGTAAAGGTTCCTCTGTTGTACAAGTGTTCCAGTACACAGCTAACTTGCTCTAACTCATGGTTAATATACTAACAAATTTAAGAAATATGATTGGCACCATAACTAAAGCTTTTCAGAATTCCCTTCAAGTGGCAAACAGCCATGTGAAGGTCCTATAAAAGTACTTTTGTGTATCTAACTTTCAAGGTATTCAATGAAGGAGTGAATGTATAGAATATAACAAATATAAATTGATATTCTACCAATGGAATGTCATAACAATAGTCTCTCAAATCTACAAACATTCATAAGAAGTCTACAGAAAGATTACTAAAGGAATTATCCATCACAATCAGACTTCTCCTATTTTTCAAATCTACTAATGACCCTACTCATAGGAATCATTATGCCCATATATTTGTAAATAAAAGACAACAATATCATAGCACCAGAAACAATTCACAAAAATAGAAATAGGAGGTCTAGCCACAGAGGACAGTTACCCTCAGAACCAGTGACAGTAATTCAGTATAGTTATATTATTTACACAGGCTTGTAGAGGGGAGCGAATATGGTTGAGGAAATGCTCACAGACATTATCCAATTAGTACAGCCAGACCTCTGTATTCACTACATCCTTGAGTTGTTTGTGATACTTTCTCTCAGTTCTGGTTGCTAATAACTTTTCGTACTTCCTCTTACAGGCTATCATATCAACTTTCAAGACTTGGATTTCACTTTTCAGCTTAAGTGATTGTTAAGCAAGTGTGGTGGGCTCATATTTATTTAGTAAACATTAACATAGGGTATTAAAGCAAATGCCTTTAGAGAATGTTATAATAATAAAATATTTTAGATGGTAGAGGGATGTAGGTAAGAAAAGCAGAACCAAATCCCACAGTATACCCAATCAAACACCCTGGCTGCCCATTTCCTCCTCTCACACCCTTACTGACTTCTCTCTGCTTCCCTTCCTCACACCCAGGCAAGCGCCTGTCTACCTGCTTCACTCATTTGATAGATTTATTACTATGGGGGACACCCTGCACAGCTACTGCAATAAATTCCATCACTCATCCACACCCTCCTTTGGTATTTGTTGCATACTCTTTCCTATGCTTAAAATCTCTAGGGCCATGAATCCAGAGGTCTGGCTGTATTACATTTTAAAAATTAACCAATTAAAAACTTATATACAATTATTTTATTGATTGTAATGTCCGCCTGCTATGTACTTTCAATTAAAACCAGAAAAATCATAACTGTTACACAACTAAGTTAAAAATATCTTAACATTTTGTAAACAAACTATGTAATTTTTTAAACCCACAGATTAAGCACTACAAAACTACTTACACTCAGAAAGTAAAGCTTACTGTATAACAATAAACATTTAATAAAACACATCATTCCCAAAACATTTCTGTTTATTGGGACAGTATTAATTTGAGGGCAGTGTGTGGACCCACACACCCAAATAAGTAATTAAACATTGTAATAAACTTATAGCACAGAGGACCTATACATACAGGGACCTCATAACATGGTTTCTAGACACATCCTGAACTTGTACGTGACTCACCCTGCTTCATAGTAAGAAATTATTCTGAAGATATCAAGGCAGAGAACAGTTTTGTCCCCTCCTTAAGAGCACATCAAGCTGGTCAAGCAAAATGCAATAACCATTTACAAAGTTACTGAAAAGCAAATGGTGACCATACTTTCCCGTTACAGAAAACAAAGTTTTATAATTGTGACTGTTGCCTTTTTATTAATAAAATGGCACCATAATGGCACATACTAACTTGATAATTTGGCACATTATCTTATCTATATATATAAAAAATCATAACAATTGGCCTACTAAAATGTTTATAATTAACCCTCTATACCTTAGTTCATCATTACATATATATAAACTAGTCGATTCATCATACATACATGCACTTTCCTACAACTCAAATACTTGTTTGATCTATAAGACATGTCCATATTTATATTCCAGAAAGGCTGTGTTGGGCTGGCTACAATAATATTAATACTATTGGCATTATATAAATTTTGATAAAAAGGTTTTGACCGGCAACATTTTTCTCATAAATTGGTCTTTAGGAGAGACCAATTTTATACACCAGTGGTTTAAGCAGAGTAGCCTTGAAGCCTCAATACAATACTAGAACCAAAATTAAGTGTTTGAATTTGCAAATTCAGTAGTATCTTTAGAAAAATGCTGTGTGTAGAACAGATTCACATTTATAGACTATGGTTTCCTCTAAATAGCCCTGCCTAGAGCAAAACAGATATACCTTTGCTTAGAGCACACGAGAGATAGCCCTTCTTACAGTAAAACAGATAATAGCTCTGCTTACAGCCCTTCTCAGAGCAAAACGAAGTCTATGAAAAGTCTTTGCTCTACAAGATATATTTCTACGATACTTGTCGACAAATCACATTTCAACAGTCCCTTGACAACCCTCATTTAGAACAGAGATTGAAACGACAATGGCAGACGCTTTCTAACACAATAAGTTGTATTATATCTGGTCACATTTATAACTTAAATCAAACCTATGGGCATTCTGGCTGTAATTACATAATCCTGAACTTTCTTGATTTCAGAAATTTTTAAGTAATCAAAGCACCACTATACTTAGGCACTATAACACAGATTGCTCTGGCATCATTAACATCAACTACCACAAAGTGAAAATTATGTTTAATCATTGTTGATACTCTTAAATAGTCACACAATACTTTGTCAGGAAAAGACTATTACCTGAGAACTAGTAAGCATAGCTACCACAAAAGCACGATTAACATAAAAAAAAACACTTGTACTTGTCATCAGCCAACACTTAGTTCAGCATTTAGAAGATGTTTTGCCCTTCACTCTGCCTTTAAATGAAGTGTAAAAAAAGACTCGGTGTACTGATTAAAACAATTATTCATTTATACATACGTCAACCCATCCTCGTTTTACACTGTTTTCTTATATGTATTTATGTCAGTTTCTGAATGTAAGCAGGACTTGTGTGCACAAACTTACAATCAACAATAACCATACCATTTTTTTTTTTCACATTATAGGGTAGGTTACATTCAATAAGTCCATTTAATATATATTTAACCCCAAATGCATAAGTTTTGGCTAGACAGCAACTGAGTGGAGGATGTGAATGTGTTTCTTTTTTTTTTTGGGGGGGGGGGGGATCATCTTACCTCAGTTGGGAGATGGGCACTGTTGAAAAAATATATATATATATTTTTTTTTTTAACAAATCGGCCGTCTCCCACTGAGGCAGGGTGACCCAAAAAGGAAATACTTTCATTATCATTCAACACTTTCACCTCACTCACACATAATCACTGTTTTTGCAGAGGTGCTCAGAACACAACAGTTTAGAAGCATATACTACGTATAAAGATACATAACATATCCCTCCAAACTGCCAATATCCTGAACCTTTCCTTTAGAGTGCAGGCATTGCACTTCCTATTTCCAGGACTCAAGTCCGGCTATACAAAAATAGCCGGTTTCCCTGAATCCCTTCACTAAATATTATCCTGCTCACACTCCAACAGATCATCAGGTCCCAAATACCATTCACTCCTATCGAACACGCTCATGCACACCTGCTGGAAGTCCAAGCCCCTCGCCCACAAAACCTCCCTTACCCCTTCCTTCCAACCTTTTCGAGGTTGAGGTTTTCCAAACCTATCAACTACACAAGGGTTAAGGCTATACAAAACCTATTCATCACCAGTCAAGAAAACTTATACTATACCTAAATAGGGCTTAGATTCTCAGTGTATATACA